AAAAAAAAAAAAAAACGAAGTCCAGATGACATGATTCAACCTTTTTTGTCATTGCAGACATGTTCCTGTTTTTAGTTTTCTACACCACCTTATAATCTAGCTGTTTGATTTTTTTTTTCTGCTACATTTTCCTTTTGACTGTCTTTTGGTTGCCATTTTATTTTAATTTGTTAAGAAAAAAAATTGTATGCCTCTTTTATGACTGTCTATTGTTGTTGTCCACTGTTGTCATCACTCTGTTAAAGAAATCAGGTCTCTCTCGTAAATGAGTCCCCGAGGCTCAATGGGATTAACCTGTATAAATAAAGGTTGAATGAATGAATGTTGAAGGGAGCTCCACAAAGCCTAAATACCAATTGAACCAATTTAACACAACACCAGAAATGCCAAACAAATCTCTCAGTCTATTAATTATTACAATATGATTGACAGTGTCAAAGGTTAAAGATAAGTTCAATAAAACCAGCACAGTGAAGTTTTCAGAGTTGGCTGCCATCAAGAAGTCACTAGAAACTTTTAAAAATGATGTCTCTGTGGAGTGAAATTTGCGAAAACCAGACTGAAAGGTGTCCATAATGTCATTTTCCTCCAAAAAGCAGTTCAATCATTCTGATACAGCCTTTTCTAGAAACTTGGACTAAAACAGTAATTTAGAGATACAGTAGGTCTGTAGCTAGCAGGAAGAGAAGAATCCAAACGAGGAATTTTTAGCAATGGGCAGACAGTACATACTGTAGACCGGCATATATATATAATAATAATAATAATAATGTCATCACAATGTCAGCACTGTATGTTTCCATACAATGGCGAAATTAGTCTCTGCATTTAACCTATCCACCACCAGGTGGTGCAGTGGGCAGCTATTGAAAGCGCCCGGGGGACATTTTGGGGATATATATATATATATATATATATATATACACATCCATCCATTATCTTTTACCCGCTTCTTCCATTTTGGGTCATGGGGTCGCCGGTGCCCATGTCCAGCAATCACTGTGCCAGGGGTGGGGGACACCCTGGACAAGTCACAAGTCCATCACAGGGCCACATAGAGACAAACGAGACAAACAACTCACTCTCTTACTGACACCTAGGGACAATTTAGAGTTACCAATCAGCCTAACATGCATGTTTTTGGTGTGCGTTTTCTGTGGGAGATAAACCAGAGTACCTAGAGAAAAACCATGCATGCACGAAGAGAACATGCAAACGCCACCCAGAAAGGACCCCGAACAGGGATTTGAACCGGCAACCTTCTCGCTGAGAGGCAGCAGCTCTACCAGTTGCGCCACCATACTGCCCACACATAAGATGAACGCCATACAGTAAGCTAAAAGATCCAAGACATACGATAAACAATAATAATGTAAAACAATACAGCATAAAAACAGCAGCCTGAACATGAGTCGGTGGTGAGCAGATGGGTATAGTACAAATGAACACAGCAGCATAAAATAATCAGCAGCATGAGATCAGCAGCATGGGTAATCAGCAGCACAGATAAGTGAAATATAGCCAATTAAAGTGGCATTACAGTGATTTTTTTTCACAGTGATTATTCTGGTTAGAGATTCATGAGTCTAACAGCCTCAGGGTAGAAGCTGTTCCTCAGTCTAGTGGTTCTACACTTAATGCTCCTCAACCTCCTGCCTGATGGAAGCGGGACAAAAAGTGTGTGCTGGGGGAGTGGGGTCCTTCATGATGGCTCTCTTCCAGCACCTGGAGATGTAGATGTCTGTGATGGTGGGGAGACTGACTCCAACAGTCGTCTGTGCAGCCTTCACCACTCTCTGCAAAGCTTTTCTTTCTGCAGCTGTGCAGCCTCCATGCCACACGTTGATGCTGGAGCACAGGATGCTCTCCACTGCACACCTGTAGAAGGAGGTGAGGACTGAGCTTCTCAGCTCATCTCAGCCGACTGAGGAAACAGAGTCGCTGATGAGCTTTCTTGAACAGGCTGGTGGTGTTGTTGCCCCAGCTGAGGTCCAGCTAAGGTCTATGAACCTCAAGCTTAGAGCTTTGCCACAGTTGTTCAGCCTAACAACATACTCTCCTATGGTTAAAGATTTCTTTATTCATCCAGGGATAGATTGTGTGCTGGACAGAGCTTTATAGGTGCTATTTTTCCCAAAATGATGTTACAATGTGTATGTAAAGATGAAACAAGTGAGTCCACATTGGTCACATTGAAATCTAAGAAGGCAGAATCAAAAAGAGAAGAGAAAGCTAGAGGAGAATGCTCAATTACGATCCATCTTGGTTCCGTAGTCTAAGAGGAACTTGATCAGAATTAAAAAAGACACACTGAAATACATACAACTGTTATCACTTAAAAATATATCCTCTACATGAACATCCTTCAAATCAAGGCCTAAGGAGAAAACTAGGTTCAACATATGGCCTTTTTCATAAGTAGGAACGCGTACATGCTGAGTAAAATCAAAGGCCTGTAATGGAGATGAGTTCATCAGCCGTGTTACAAGAAACATCATCAATGTGCAGATTGAAATCCCCCAAAATTAAGACATTCTCCTATTTACTAATAGATGAGAAGAACTAATTGAATTCAGATAACACACTAGTTACACCTGGAGGAC